GAAAACTGCAGGCTTGTCTTGGAACATCCATGTGGCCTTTTTCAGGAGGGGTCCCCCATACATCATCAGAATTGTTTGGTCATCTGCTGCAATCCTCTTCCGCGCCATGGAAAAATGCTGAATCCAATAAAACTGGTTCTTCTGAAAACCGGGGATTGAAGAGTGCGCAGAAAGTAGTCCTGGAATGTTCAGTCTTCAATGGCAGAAAAACATCGGTTTTCCTGTGCAAAATTTCTCCGCTTCGTAGGCAGTCCAAGCCTGCGGAGAGATCCCGAAGTTTCGTGATCCTCGTCTGATGACTTCCTGACTTGAGTTTGACTGCCAACGGGATGCAAGTCTCTTTCCACCGGGCGGCAAACAAAAACATCTCAAACTCGTTCATGGGCCTGCTGAGCTGCATGCCAGAGCAAGAAACAGGATCGACAACGGTGGATCAGGGCGGGGGGGGAGGGGGGATCAGGCGCGGTATATGATATTGTTCCACGTATATAAATATAAAAAAGTAGATATGTATATATGTATGCATCTATGGAAGCAAGCCCTATCGGTCCTACGCAAAGCGTAAAGCACCAGTCAGGCCACGGGTTCCCCGGTCCGTGGAGAGGGTGACATGCTGCGAAACGGGCCTTGAAGCCACAGAGCTCCATGCAAGCTAGGGAGCGTAAATGTCAGATGTGTGTGTGTGTGTGGGTGTGTGTGTGTATGGGTGTGGGTGTGGGTGTGGGTGTGGGTGGTTGGTTGTGGGGGAGGGGGTGGGGGGGGGGGCTGGGCGGCTTTTTGTTTGGTTCCGTGTAATTTGCCACATGTGAAGCTTGTTGCATCACCATCAGGATGATGCGGAGTCTTCGTGGCAGACAAGTGTGCTGTACCCACCACTGGATGCATAAGCAGTTATCCGGATGCTTTTCGAAACTCAGATGTGGTTGTGCCGGCGTTAAGGTAAAGAATGAGACAAAGAAAAAAGGGAAAGAAAGAGAGAAAGATGGAGAAATGGCTGTTGAGGATGGCCTTTTTCTCCATGTGCCTGTAGTTCGGCCGAGGGCTCCAGTGGCCGGGACCTTTGAGCAAGCGGCTGAGAAGGAGGACACAAGAAGCAACAAGAAAGCAAGGTCTGCGCCCCACCATAGCAAAGCCGAGCCAAAGCAACGTCATGTTTAAAATGCACGTGGTGCCTTGACAGACACTACAAACGGAGAACTGCAAAATGGTGTAGCTTACTCCTGTAGAGCAAAAGCCATTTGCTGTTTTTGCAGTTGCTGAACACAGGGAAATGCTCGATGTTGCAGCTTGTGGAACGTTCGAATAGTGGAAAAGGCCCATTGCTCAGCCTTTGCCCTTTGAAGCTTTTGCAAACCATCTGGAGCTGTAGAACACTGGGGAACGCTGATTTGCAGCATGATTTGCAGCTGTCGTGCTTCTCGAAATGCAAGTTGGAAAAGCCGTGCTGTCACGTCAGAAAGCAAGCTAACTTTGCTAATCTGTGCACCCAGTAGTTGACTGCTTGCTGCTCACCCTCTCGCTATGTACACAGTCTGGAGCTGCATGGACAATTTGCCTTCACGCATTTCACGCAAATGCTGAAGCTGCGCTGTGGCAGAAGTGAACGTTCGAACAGCGGGCGGAAATGAAGCGGTGCCCTATGCCTCGATGCATGTGCAGAGGAGATTGACATGAAGCCAGGGTCTCGAAGGAGTTCTTGTAGGAGTTGCCTGCAAAGGCAAGAATGGGTTTCCCGAAAGTCTGCGCTGCCCTCAACAGAGTCGCCACAATGCCTTTTGCTCCTAACCCGCCCATTGGGCTTACATGGATGTTCTTTGGGTCTGAACGGAGCAGTTCCGATCTGCTAACTTAGGTCCTGCGAAAGATGACCAAATGCTGAATGAAGTCTTTAAGCCTAGCATCTTCTTGGGGAGCAGAGTTCTCAAGCTACCTACCGCGCATCCACACCTCCACCTGACAACCCAGTCAGGATGCCATGTGCTTCGCATTCAGAAGATCGGATTCTAGCTTCACACCGACACAATCACGCCAGGTTGCTGCGGAATCTGGCGAATCAGGAGCGCCAGTCCACCTGCTTCATGTGACACAAGCGGTAAATGGTACGAAGCATGGATCAGCCGTTGCAGAATGTAGTTGCGCGCATGCAAGCTGACGGTTGCGTATGCGCTCTTGTTCAGCGTTCTGTCACCTAGCCATACCTAGCCTATAGAGTTGGCGAGACCATGTGCTCACCATACCCATGCTATACCGCTTGGCAAGAGTCTGGGAAGGAGCCGTTCCTGCCCCAGCGCTTCCAAGCGGGCAAACAGGCGTGGCAATTTGCGGATGCACCTCACGTCCCAAGGAGAAGCCAAAACAAGGGACCCTGGATACAACCTGAAAATGTGTAGCTCGACCCCATGCCTTTTCATCAATGGCGCTCAGAACTCATAACTCCCCGAAACAAGCACTAAGACTCTAAGCAAAGCCACTCAAAACGAGTGAAGTTTGTCACTGGAATTCGGAGTCTAAGAGCCAAAGTGCAGGCAGCGAAGTTCTTGACTTCGCGACGATGCCTCTCAGCAGCAAGAGGGTTGGTCAAAATGCACGTATCTCAAATGCGAATGCCCAGATGATGCCTGTCCAAGGGTCTTTTGAGTTCACCGCAAACTAGCAGTTCGCGGTGCGCCGAGGGCGGGGTCGAGTATGCATCACCTTAACTGTCCAGTGAGCATCTATTGGCCGTTGGTACAGTCCCCGTCGATGCCCTGGCACCTCTGAGTTCGCTGTCCAGTGTTCGAAGCATGCATTGCGCCGAAAAGCGAGGGTCGGTTCCTGGGCTTGGGCTCATTCTCCGAGGGGCCCAGGGGCGTGAGGGGGCGTCGGGGCTGTCCGGTCCTGCGCGCCATACTGTGGCGACGCTACAATCTAAGTCGACGAAGGCCTTATGTACGACGCTCCGTGACGCTTTTATGCTTCAAGTCCCTAGAGCTCCCCCCCCTCCTCGTACAGAGAGGAGAGGGAGACCGAGCGTTTTTCTCTTTTCAGCTTTTTCAGGGCTGCTTGGTCTGTTCTGAGTTTTCTTTGTAGCAAGAGCTGGATTGTGTTGTTGCCTGCCCTGAAAGCTGTGGCTAGGCGGATGCGATAGGTTTCAGCTTTCTGGGATCGTCTCCGAGGCGCCTCCAGGATCTCCCCGCGGGCAGCAACGGCAGCGGAGCGCCACCTGGCATAGAGCGTATATATCACCTTTAAAGCACCTTCCCCCTTTTGGAGTCTCTCTCTAGAGGCACCCCAACTTAACTTGAGGAAGGGCGTGCTTTTGGCTTTAATATCGTTGGGGGAGCGAAAGATGTGAACAAGTAGTGGATGGCCTTTTCATAGGATCCTTGCGTCCTTCACTTCTGTCTTGACAAAAGACAATGCTAGGATGAGAGGGTTTGCTGACTGAAGCGTCCTGCTAGCATTGCTTTGTTCAATTCAAATATCGCCTCGAGACATGTCTTCTGTCTACACGCAAAAATCGGTGAGAAGCAATACGTGATGAAGTGAAACAGGCCCAGTGGCGGCAAGACTGCGTGTTCTTGTAAGGTTGTTGGCATCGGAGACCACAGCATGCCAATGAAGTAGCAGAATCATTCAAGAAGAAGCGATCACAATGGAGCCATCCGATCAAGAATGTTGTTTCATCTCAGCGCTGCTCCTCTCAAAACAAGAGAACAAGAAAGTGGACCCTCTTCACCCAACTGGGTGCAAGTTTTGGACCTCGCGCAGGTCGTTGCATGGGCTCGGGGTCGGGACGTGCGACTCGTGTTCGCTTTCGCCAAGAGCATTAAGAAAGCCCGCGTCGGGCATATGCGGATTCGGAATGAGTTTTGGCAAAGCATGGTTCTGGTCCCCTACCCCTGAAGGATTCAGATTCCCTACTCCGCAAGGCTTTCTGCACGGAGCTCTCGGCAAAGCCGCGCTACACCTCGGCGTCCTTTGACCCCTAGGCCTTGTGGGGAGTTGGGGGGTGCTGGGAATCTTCAGTCGATAACCTTGTGCTCTGATTTGTGGAGGATCACATGTTTGACATCGGTAGCGAAGATGGCAAGCGATTTGCTGCTTGAGCTTATGGAATTGTGGAAGTTTCGAGTCACTTGGACAGGGCTCCGCCCCCAGCACCGGCAATCCCGGGAAGTTCAGCCAGCACGCCCAGCTTTCTGGGACTTTGCTGTGGAAAGCTCGGGCTTCGTGTCCCTTAGCTTGGCTTCCGAAAGGTTGATGAAAGCTCGCAACATTCCATCCCGCTTCATGGCCCCATAACAGTCAGGCTTTCGACGACCTCAGGCCTCTTACCGGCTGTGCCAAATCGTCCTTTCCCGAAGAGAGGGTTCCCATTTTAAAGCTTGGGTTCCAGGGCTCCAACAGGTGAGCAGACATCGTGCGTTCTATTTTCATAAAGCATCCGCGAAGCTTTCGCGAGCAAGCTTTCGAGAGTCGCGCAGCAGCTGTGGTATGTTGAGGCCACCGGGGTGTCCCATCCTCGTAGCTATCGTCACTCTTGGAGCTTCCTTGTGCGTTCGCTCGTCCACATCGACTCGGCTCGCGGAAACTAAGCGACACGCAGCCCTTCTCCCCTTCTTGCAGCTGTCATGTGCCATATGCTGATCGAACCGTTATAGTTTCCTTATTTTGAATGGCCTTCCTATGTGCCTGAAGAAGCCTGCAGCAACATCTCACAGAACGCTCAGACATACTGCATAGCCTGCGAAGGGTCAAACGATGGTGCATCGCAGCGTCTTAAGCCCCTGAACCGCATTACCAGTACCCCTATTACCCTCCCTCTCCCAGCGCTCCCCGAGATGGCCCTTCCGCAAGAGCATTGTGCGAGCTTTAAACATATGCAACCTCCACTGAAGCTGCACTCACCGAAGCTCTAGCACATACGCCGGTCGCTCACAGAACTCCAGATATGTGCAAGATGAGTTGTGTTGCGCAAGCAAAACTGGTAGCTTCAAGCATTTCAAGACTCGTCTGCCATGGAGATATGGAAGCTGGCATCAAGGTCCTTCTTGGCTGCGATACAAAGGAACATCTCGGCCGTGGGGATCGGTGCCCTGGCGGAAAGCACCCTGAAGCAGAGACGCGTGGAGGCCAGCCAGCTGGCAGCCAAGGGCTTGATCGATGGTATCGACTTCATACTCCCCGTGGATGTTCAGAACTCGCCAAAGGACATCAACGAGGCCACTCTCCCTCCCAAGAATAAGCATTTTATGTGCAAAAAATTGCAAAAACCCAGGCTCCTACAGGCCTTAGCAAGACTTTGTCTTGTGTCTCTCCGATTCCGCGAAGGCCATCTTCTTCAAATGGAACCTGTTGGAGCTGCTTTTCCACTGGGTAAAATATGGGACTCAGTGGTTGGAGGAGATACCCACATTCTCCTCGCGTTTGCTCTGGCAGCTTTTTCCCTGTGCACAGAGTCACCTTTAGAACTTTTGAGTAGCCGCATCAAGCCGCCCTAGCCATAAGGCCATAAGCATTGTTGACTTTACTACTTGGTCATCGAGTCAGGTTCTACACCTGCGCACTGCCTTTGCGCATGTTCCTTTTCCACGTCTACCGCGTCTTCTGGCCTTTACTCTACTGCGGCCTTTTCAGGTATCAGATCGCGGAACCCTACCGCGAGATTTTAGTGCCAGACGTGGACCTCACCCAGTTTAGTACGCACGCTTTGGTCAAGAGAGTGGCGCTGCTGCAATCTCTACCAGCCTGTGATCGAACATGTTTCCTGGACCTGTCTGCTGCTTTTGCCGCCTTGGCTCTTCAAGCAGGCCAGAGGGATCAAGAGACTGAGCTCCACGCATACCTGGCCGAAGTCCAAGTCACGCTCCAGTCCGCCTTTTGTGAGTACATTGCCGATTGCACTCGCACGAGGCAGAATGCAGAGCTGCTGCGAGCAACCTGCGGTTTCCTGCACATGGTGGCAGAGCTGCCACTCCTGAAAGGCAAGCAAATAAGGGTGCTCGAAGACCCAACCTTGGTCTTGGAAGAAACGAACTTTCAGGTTCCAGCAGTAGCAAACTTGCAGCATGAAGAGCTGGGAGAACCTTATGAGCCGCACTTTACCGACGAAATAGAGGCTCCATGTGTTGACAAGAAGAACATGGAGCACATAAGTCCTGCCAGAGCCTTGAGACTCTACGCCATGATACACATTGTTGGCCAATTGCTTTCCAGATTTGGGGTGGACTGGTTTGCTTCACATGGTACGCTTCTAGGAGCTGTCCGGCATGGAGGTCAGATCCCTCACGATTGTGATGCCGACTTGTCCATTCTCGCGAAGGATCTAAACGTGCTGCGGAATGCATCTTTCATGCTGGCTTTGCAACGGAATGGCTACCAAATGGATTATCTGCCTGTACAGCACTTGTTTACAGTTTGGCGGGTGGACAGACAGTCCAGCACGGAGGTGCGCGGCGCACGAGCCGTGAACAACTATCTCAAGTACACGCCTGCTCTGCACATCTTCATCCTCTTCGACTTCCACGAAACGAAGTCATGGCGCTACGAAACCGACAGGTTGAAGCACGAGGGCTGGTCCATTCGGGAAGAAGAGCTGTTTCCCTTGCAGCTGCGGTCTTTCGGCGAAACATCAGTACCAGTCCCAGCCAAGCCCGAAGCATACCTGGACAGGATGTATGGTCCAGACTGGCCTTCCACGATCCGATCCATGACAGCACTCCAAGACAATGAGTTCTATGCACCAACAGCTCTGACAAGTTCCGGCATGGCCCTTCCAACAGGGCCCCTCCCGACTCTCTACAATTGAAGGAGGATGGGTAGCGGACCTGCCCCAAGTCGCACCGGCTTCCGAGCGTGCCGAGCAGAATCTTAGAGCTGGAGATCTTATGAACCTGAGTAGCCTCAAGATAGTTTAGAAACAATCCCTAGGATCCCGTCAGAATGGAACGTGCTTTAATACACCGTGATGTGAGTGAGGAATCAGGAATTCCAGTCTTCAAGACGGAGCATCACGTGCACGGGATGTGTGGCGGTCATGGTTGGAGAAAACACTGCCCCTTTCCCATTCAGAGTCCATCAGATTAGGTTGCTCAGCGTTTTGCTGGCGCGGAGGGACATGTCCCCAAGAGCTCAGAAACAAGCCGAAGGCAAGCCCTCCAACCCTTGCCCCTTTGGGGAACAAACTCCTGCGGCTTCACCGTTCGGCGTCCCGAGGCCGGTTCCGTTTACTCCCGCCCGCCCCCGACGCCGCCGTGCCGCTCTTAAAAGCAGTTGGGAGTCTGTGTCTTTCAGGAAGTTAGGCGCTCAAAAGGGTCTTGAAGTGGGATTCGTTGACCTAGCCCCTGAACAGTCAAAGCTGTTTCTATGCCTCTTTAAACGGTCCACGGTGTTTAGATTTTCAATAAGTTATGTGTATGTATATATATATATATATTTTATATTTATTTATTCATTTATTCATTGTTTATTTCGTTATTGATTCCTTTAAAGAATTAAGAAAGGAATGAATAAGAAGGGGGGCTGAAGTCTTACACCCCTCCACCTTGGAAGGGATCGCGGGGTCGCTTCCCCCCCTTGAAAAAAACAAGAGCCCGGGGGGGCATCGAAATCCGGAACTCCCAGGGGCCGGAGCACATCAAAGGTCCCCAGGGCTCCTGGACCAACCCCCATGTTGCCGGGTTTAGGGAAATCTTGGTTTCGCTATAAATCTTTTTGAATACAAAAAGATGCCAAGTCCCAGAAACGACTTGACTTTAGACAGCCCCCCCCCCCCCCAAAAGCCACAGGGTCCTGAATGTCCCGGCCAGCATGGCGTTTTTGGGCCCCAGCGAATGCGGATCCAACATTCTGGCGCAGGTTAACGAGGGAGTGTGCGCAGTGGTCTGTCCAGTGCTGCGGGCTGGGAGTTGAGCATGTTTATTCGATTGAGCAAAAGGCTCTTGAGAACTTGGTGCTTAGGGCTCAAGGCGCAGCTTGAGGGTTTGAAGGCTTCGGAGGGGGTTCTGCTAAGACGGTGACAACGAGGCGTCAAAATATGACCTTTGTCGGCGCGCCGTGTTGCAGTGCAGTACCTAAGATCTCTAACCTTCACATCCAAATCAAAGTTGAACGTTGGCCTGGCTGAATCGTAGTATTTTGACCCTTACGCCCCAACGAAGCGGCAAGATTTGTGTCATGCTCCACACTTTGTAGGAACTGGTCGACCCGCAATCCCAAGCCGACCCTCCGTGACCCAGGCCGCCACCCTGACTGTTTCACACACTTGAGTGAGCGACCTCGGTCTCGCAATGCAAATACGCGAACTGCGTTGATTGCCGCTGGGTGCTCTCGGCACTTTGGGCATTGCGGCTAAAGTAGCTGAGAGACCTTGGGGATTCACGCGAAAGGATGAAGAGTTCCACTCTGGCGGCCAATTGGATCAAGAGCTGCGGCTCTGAGCATATCCTTGATCCTGAAATCCATGAAACACATCCACTCCCGACCCGAATCACAAAACCCGTAGACCCTAAGACACTGCAGCAAACAGCTGCTCACATCCCTCCTTTGTGGACGTACGAAGCCAAGCCAGTAATCTAGCAGAGCGATCCGGTCCGAAGACCCAGAGATTTGGCTAAAGCCTTCAGCGAAGGCCCGGGAGTGCTTCAAGGGGTGGCAGGCGTGGCACACGTGAGAAAAGGGGTGGTTGCCTCGCCTCTTAGACTGTAGTAGAGAGAAACTTCTCTTAAGTTGGCGATGCTCCGGCACCTGGGTCGCTGCTGCAGCTTCTGCAGCCCCGGCTCGGGGCAACCCCCAGACCAGCCTGCGGGGCAACCCACGGGGCAAGCCACGCAACCCCTCCAAGCCGACCTGGCGCCAAAGGCGCCGCCGAGGCAACCGATGCAGGCGGGACTCAGACCTGAGATCGCACCGTGGGCTCATGGAGGGTGAGGGGCTCACCTGCTGCTCAGTGCCCGAACATGCACCTACACGTCGGTGTGGTGGCCCCGCATCTTTGAAGCTTGGCTGGTGAGGCGCCTCCTCGCCTGGCACCAACACATGCCGCCCTTGAGGCCAGGCGGCCAGACTAAGCTTGGCCTGATGATTGAATGTTTTGAATGGTGGGGCGGTTGAGCCAGGCTGCATCTGTGAAGAAACCGAAAACTGCATGAGAGAGCCTCAGTCTCGTTTGTCTTGCCTCCTTTCGAGCGAGCTCCAGTCTCTCTGACAATACTACCACAAGACACATGCGTGTAGGCCCCGTCTTCGGCTTCGGTTGGTGGTCAGGTTCACATCTCTGGCTTCATGTTGCTGTGTTGTGGCTTTAAGAGCTCGTTCTGTGCAGTTCCGGCGACTATGGCAGGCTTTAGAGGCCGTGGCGCGATGGATCCATCCAGGCGACGGATGGCTTCCGCCGCTGGTGGAGGCCTGATGTTCTCAGATGTCCTGAGTGTCGGGCGAAGATCCATGAAATTATGTGGTTAAATTCTTATTGAGTCTTTAGCCTAACTGGCACTTAGAATACCTGCCAGAAAGCAGCGTGCTGTCACTGTGAGCCAAGATTTGGCTGTTGCACACTGGTTCGTTTCCTGCTTAGCCATATGCTTGAACGGAGAGTTTTGCCGTTCGTGCGCATGAACGCATAAATGGACACTCGGCTGTCAGTTGGCAGCCGTGCCTTTTCCAAAATTCAGAGGGGCTTCCTGGGGACGTTGCCTCTCTGGTTATGCGAAGTGTTCCAGAATCTCAGCAACATGACCTTGCGAAGATCGAGTATGAGTGCTTGCTAGGTGCCCTTGCGCATGGCCAAAGTGCCACAGCTGGAAGTCCTTGCGCCTCGGTGCTTTCAGAGAGCTGTTGGGGACTTGGGGGCTCAGGGGTGGAACAACTTCAGCTGAAGGAAGTGGGGCCAGGGGGGGGGGAGGGGGGTGAGTCGGGTCCTTGTTTTGGCGAGAAACACCCCGAAAAAAGGGCAATGTCTTCTTTAAACAGATTGCACGGCCGCTGCGCTCAGAGCTTGCACCTCCACGCTGCCATGCCCAGAGCTTGCACCAGCGTGCTATTCACTCGCAGCTTGCAGCGCTTGCCTTGCCCAAACTTGTGTTTGTGATATCCAGAGCGCAGCGGTTTTCAGCAGGCACGGTGCATGGCACATCTGTGCGAGTGGGAAGGATATTGCTTTGCACAAGGCATCGATGGTGGCCATGCTTCCGGCACCGCTGATAGGTCTGATAGTGCTGTTGGCACGAATGTGGCAGGCTGGCTTGTGGAAGGGTTGCACTGTCCAGTCTACAACCTGGATGCATAAGGCCACGTGTTCCGAACCTTCGCCTTCCGATTCCGAAGAGGAAAACGTGGCAAGTCACAAAGAAGGCCCAAGTTGCCTCAGAAGCTTTGCGTTGCGTCCCCAATGAGGCCTCTCCTTCACAAGAAGGTGTCGCCGTTTCTGATGTTTCTGTTGCTCAAAATCAGGCACAAAAGACCTCTGTACTCGCTGTAAAGCGCCTTTGGGCCCCCCAAAAGCAGAGGTGAAACCTCCCTCTGTGGAAGCGCTTTGGGAGTGGTACGAGGCACAGATGGGCTGCTCTGGAGTTCAAGTTTGTTGATGTGTTGTTCCCGGCTTCTGGTTCGTGACGATAGAGGTCGTCAGAAAGCCCAACCCCATTTCGTGTCCGAACGTAGAGCTTCAAGCGGGAGCGCAACGGTCTTAGGCAGCTTTGAATGAAGGCCAGAGCTTGTGTGGAGAGCCCTGGCACAAGGAGCGGGGACTGCTTGACGGAGATCCGAATCTTGGCCCCAAAAGAACCTCATTTGGCGCTGTTGTGTGTCACAGCCCCCAATTTACCCGAGACCCAACCCAAACCCCAACCTCCTGAGGAGCTGGGCTCACGTTTGGCCTTCTGCTGCAGCGTTGAGTGCTTTGCTGGCCGAGCGGCGCGAGCTGCTTTGGCTGATCAAAGGCCCCTCAAAGGGGACACCCATTTTATTTCTTGAGGCCCCGAAAGATTCGATAATAAAGTCAGGACACACAGCCCAACAAAAGAGCGCTCTAGGCCGACGGCGGAATCAACAAGATGTGTATTCGAGCAGGGCAAAAAGAACGATGGAGCTGCCAGAATCCACCACACCCTGGGCCGAGGCTGAAGGCTAGGTTGTGCAAGGCCCTGCAAGCCCTGGCGAAATCTCAAACCCGAAGAATCCGAGGTTGGTGGCAGACAAGCGGGTGGCTGAGTTAGGGCCCAAGTGGGAGGGGGGGAGTGATGGCTTCATGTTTGCCAGGGCGTGATAAGAGAGAGAGGGAGAGACCTCACCAGGCCCCAAGAAAGGAAAGAAAGAAATCTGCAAAGATGCAAAGGTCATGCTGGAAGGCACGAAGAATTCGAGATGTATTGGGGGCCGTGGGTCTTTAGCCTTGCTGGGCTTGAAATCTTTTCAGATCGCCGGGCGGAAGGTTTCCCGGTGTAGCGACTTCAGGTGCGTCTGTTGTGGAAGTTTGGAGCTTCCCAGAGAACGGCCTTGTTCGTGCCAATCCATCTGCAGTGTTGCACAACAGAAACGGTTTGGCCTGCGCCTTGCCAATCCCAGACAGCATGTGGCCATGCCCTGAATGTCCAGTTTAATCTCAAAGTTGTTGTAGGAAGTGTGCCCACGTTTGTCCCGGCTTTTGTTGACGTCGCTTACGGGTGACAACCCCACCCCCCCCCCCCCCCCCCCCCCCCCCCCAAACGCAAGAACTCCCCCAACCAGAGCCCATGCGCCCTTCATGACATCAGAAGGCTGGGTGCTGGATTGGGCCTCTGTGGCCTGGTTTCCAGTGCGGTGGGGGCGCGCACAGTGCTACTGTTGGAGCCCTGGCTTTGTGTGAAAGCTTCGGTCCACTCCAGGGCTTGAAAGGAGGGGCGGGGCTTGCTCTTTATGCTGCTTCTTGTGGTTAGAATCACCACAAACAGGTTGCACTGTTGCGTTGTACACGGTGAATGTATAAGGCGTTGAATACAGAAGCTAGAGGACGGAAGTGGTGGAAGAAGTATACTGAGAACGTGTCATTGAGCCCGCCACTGAACTCAGTGCCACCAGGACCGCGAGCCCCGCGCTCTACACTGCGCAGTAGCTTCCGCAGAACTGGGCAAGCTGGCTGTGAAGGCGGGCACCCTTTAAACTGCAAGACCTTCGAAAATAGTCACTATTGCGACTATTGCAGCCTTTGTCCGGCAGCACAACAACACCAAAGAATCTGCGAAATGCAGCTTCTGCTGGAATCTGGTGCAGCAGGGCCACGGACGATGTGTAACGAAGAGGCCTGCGAACGGCCTTCCCAGCCTCGCCCCTCGCAGGACTCACAGGACTCACAGGACTCACAGGACTCCCCACCTCACTGCCAACGCTCTGACACAGGAGGTGGGGGCAGCCTGCGGCGCCGCAAAAGCTGCAATGAGCCGGTTGAGCCAGTTGAGCCGGTTCCGGAGTTTCTGGGAGTTGGGGCTTCGGAGGCTCACAGTTCGGATGTCAGATGGAGTGGGGCGTGGGCAGTTAGCTCTTATCGTGGTGTTGCACATCTTCATGGCAAGACAGGTCGATGGCCACCTCGACGCCTCCATCCCACTTGAACTTGAAATCCAGCTGCACTGCACCCCCTTCTCCTGCTTTGAGGTGCAGGCTGCAGTTTACGACTGGGACTCACCCCAGGACTTCGACCAAGCTGTGGACGCGCCTCAGCAGGCGCTTGAGTATCGAAGGCACAAGTCCATCAAGTCCATGACTTAAGCTCCCAAGACCGTGGCACTGCAGACACTGCAGACCGCCACATGATTCGGATCTCAGGTTATCCTGGCAGCCGAGGCTCCCATGATGCCATGATGCCATGTGAGGGTTCCGGTCTCAACCGTATTGCCGTCTTCCGCAAAAAAAAAGCCGTCTGCAAGTCACTGGAAGTCCTGGGAGGTCCTCTACGATCCCGCGGCCTCGCGCGCCCTCGCCGAGGCTTCCATCCGCTTGATTCGCGGCAAGGCCTGGGGGCTTTTCACACATGGCAGGGTTCTTGGCCAAAGGATACTTGTTGAGACGCTTGTCAAGCTGGGCCATGACATTTCTTCGTGTGCCTGTAGAGATAAGGAGCCCCCCTGCATCTAGCAGCGTGGCGGCCCAACTCTTGGCCCACGCAGATGCGCAAGAAGCAAGCTCCGCACATGAAAGCACAGAAAGAAGGTGTCTCAGTGGGTGAGGGAGAAGGTGGTAGATGCCAATGGTAAGCCGAACCACGTCTGCTTCAGCTGCTACTTCAGTAGGCAGCAATGCAAACTACTGGCCCAGCCTAGAGAAAGACGCAGATCACCACGTAGCCAGATAGCCAGTTCGATGCACTTCTATGCGGTCTGAACCCAACGGAGCGACATGGCGGCTGAAGTCCCACAGTGGCTTGCCGAGCGCTTCCCTGGGCGGGACGCTTGGCCCGTGACCTGGAGACCTGAGGGCAAAGGCATCCCTCAGCCCTTCGCATGAGACACCATGCTTTCGGAAGCATCGTAAGTCCATCCCCTCCACTGCAAAAATACGAGGTTTTTTAATCAACTCGGGTGTCTTTTCGTAATTTAAGATTGCCTTCGGAGTGGAGCCCAAGGAATGGCAATCGCTTCGCTGCTGCAAGCTTGTGGCGACACCCGGCCGCACTGAGCTGCACCGCTTCTTTTTGACCCTCAGCCGCCTACAAATTCCCGTTGAAATAAAGACATGGCATCGGCCAGGCGTCCCATCCCCTGTGCTGTGTGCTTGTCGTACTGCACGGTGGAAGGTGGAGGGTCACCAGAACTCCCGCCGTCTTTACCTGTCCCGGCCCCTTTAGGCCGGTTTTTCAGTCAGCCCTCAGACAGCGACGGGCGCGCAATCCTCGCTACCCTGAAAGCCTCATGATCCCAGGAAGGAGGGTGTGGGTGCCGGCCTCGAAATGGAGGCGACAGAGCACCTTGGGATTGAAGGTGAATCCCCTTATTCTCGTTGATTCAGAACTTGGGTTCAATGTCAATGCTTGGTGCACGACTGGTCCCCAGAAGTGAGAGTCGACGAACCCCCGAGTCTCCAAATGCCCTCGGCCTCCGCCTAGGTACGGCTACGCCGTGGACACTATCCTCCCAGAACCGGGCCAGGACGCAAGGGCGTGTGTTGGGGGCGATGGGATATTTAGAATGGGGCTCAAAGGGGTGACTCTTACTCCTGCCGAACTCGAAGCACCTCGGAATGCGATAAATCCGACTGAGAGAGAGAGAGAGAGAGAGAGAGAGAGAGAGAGAGAGAGAGAAAGCCCAGCCAGACAGGAACCGGCCTTACAACCCGGGGACACAATCGTGGCCATCGAAGGCCAACGCCTTCTTGGCCTGTCAGAGGCCGACATCTCGCAGTTTTTGAAGGTTCTGGTGGGAAGGTTCTGGGGGCGCAGTCTAAGCCCCACGCTTTGCAAGCCTTGCTTGCTTTATTATTCCGACAGCTAGGGCACTGTTCTTGGGGGTTTGCGGATCATAAGGTCAGATCCTGAAATGATGTCACGGAAGACCCTCCACTGCCCTGGCCCTAAATCCTGGAATCCTAAGCCACAAGCAATGGTTTCAAGAAGCTGTTTCATGTGCTGTCCGCAAGTGTCTCTTCCATCAACCTGAAGTGTCTCTTCCATCGACCTGCGAAAATTGGTAACATTCAATGGCCTGGTTCCGGTTGTCATGAGCCACTGAAGTGCAGAAAGCTTGCATGGAGAAGGGTTAGGCGGGGGGATCAAGTTTCGCCTGGCATGTCCCTCACCGTTGCTACGCCCACACTCAACACCCCATCCGCTAGGAGGACATCGACCAAGTGTTCGGAGCTCACTTTCGGCACGGCGCGCTGCTCCTTCTGCTGAGCTCTAAGGCGAGGGGAATGCGTTGTAAAGCCATCCTGCTTCACAATTATTGCTCTCGGATTTTCTGCTAAGTTCTTGCCCATGGGCTTTGGGTTCAGCAGCATTCTTGCAGCGCAAAGCTCTGAAGCCCCCAAACCCAAACCAACCTCCTTAAAGTATCACTAAACCTGGCCACAGGAGTTGCAGGATGCGGCTGGCACGCAGGAGATGGAGCACAGACGAGACGAACCCAAAACACTTAGGACTTAGGTCGTTGCGGCAGATAGTTCGGGAAGAAACCCTTCTCTAAGAACCTGCTCGTCCCGAAACACCACCCAGGTGTGGTCATCTATGCTCAGCCTTTGCACCCAACCCAGTACCAGAAACGGCGCTAGTATAAAGGCTAACGGGGCATGCTGGCGCTTGAGGGGACGGTCGCAGAATGTCTTGCAAGCACAATCCGTTGATCTTGAAACCAGGACATGGACCCGGCCGAATCAGACAAGAGGAAGAGTGTCGAGGAGCACGAGGTGCGCGAAACAGGGGTTCGGCTACTGGTTGCACCAGGTCGGTGAGGATTGAGGAGCACTCCCACAAACCGGGGCATGTACAAGAACCCGCACAGGGTCGTAGTGTTGAAGCATACCGTTGTTGTCTTGCTACAAAGACGAGTGCCACACTCCACGAAACACGCAGAGGGTGGTCGTTTGTGGAAATTGAAAAGAAACAAGCACGCGTGGCTTACAGACAATGTCACAGCAAAAACATGTCTCAGGCAGATAGCACGGGTTCAAAAGAAAGAGGCCACGGTGCGCATTCCTGTCGGCCGTGCGACAGCTTGGCAACTGGACGAAGCCACCGCGGCCAACGCCTCTTGGCCCTTGATGTGGCGCTTCCGTAGCCAAAGCCAGGTCCCAGGGCTCCCATGAAGTCCCATGGGCCTTCCCATGACCCCCAAACACGAGGTGTCCAACGACCTGGCCATAGTGAGCGAGCAGTTTGGCCTTGCTGCAAGGGCTCATTTTGGCGACCACGGCTTCCTGGCTGAGACAGAACACATGTCTTGCGCCCCCCCACCTGCAAGCTTGAAGCTTGGGAACTATAGCAAGAACAACGAAACATGGAAACCGTTCATTCTGGCCTTGAGCCCTCACAAGCCAAAAAGAGGCCTCGCCTGAATTGTCCGAGAGGCATGGAGAGCGTTCTCCTGACCGGCCTTCCCAGTGCCATCGCTCAAGCCCGCCCGGAGGTCGTCCGCCCTTCGGCAGACCTCTGTCATCTTCCAAGAAGGGGATTGGAGTAGCTTGGGAGGTTTTGAAGAGTGGAGTTGGAGCCGCCAAATGTCCCAAGAGACTCTCTACACCCCGAACGCGTCGTGACGACAGCAGTGCATCAGAAAGCCTTGGTCAGCATGGTTAAGAACCCAAAGTAGGGAGCCCCTTGAAGCCCTAGCCCAGTCTCAGGCATCCTCGCCTTCTACCGGGATGGCCAGCTCCACTGCGCCAGCGAGGCACCGATGGAGGCGGCCAAAGCGGCGCCGAGCACGCCCATGGACGGGAGAGGGAAGGGGGGTGGGGGGGGCTTGAAAAGGGTTCCCAAAGTTCGAAGGATGGAATCGGATGCTATGAACATGTATGAAGTGTGCCAGTACCTGGCGAGTGCAGGAGACCACGTCTCTGGACTTGCCGGATCACGTGCGGGATCTCCGTCAGTGCCTCGCACCAACAGCCCATGTCTGGGGCTGGGCACGCTTGTTTCCCGCAGCTTTGAGTAGAAGCTCCCAGAAAAGATGAAGGCTCTCCACTAGCAGGATGCAGTCGGATGTGGTACCCTTCCCTGTCGGAGTCTAGGGCTAGGACCTTTGTATGCAAACGCTTTGAAAGCAGATTGTTCATCCTCAAGCCAGCAAGGAAGTCCAAACTTCAGGTTTCAGTACCATGACCACACTGCCGACATAATCGTCCACGCCTGGGGGACGTCGTTGGCGGAGGCGCTGGCGCAGGCAGGAGAATTGTCGGAGGATAAGAATGGCCTTCCCCCGAATATGTGGTTTCTGTACATATACATGCACACTTGAACAGTTTTTCTTGTGCGGAGGATTGCATATTACGGAAGTGTGGCTTAGTACTGGGCGGAGGTGGGCTCATTTGTCTGGTGCGAGAGTGTCAAGCCTGGGCGACGTCGGAAAGTGACAGGTAGGAAAATACCGCTGTAATAGGTCTGCTGCCGTGCAAGATAGCACATGTTCAGCACGCCGAATCCAATTTGCTTACACTGACCTCCAATGAATACGACGTGGGGCTCTGCATATGAAGGGTGGCTGGAAAGCGGAACCGGTTTGTTTTGTTCGTCATCTCATGTGGCTCTGAAGTCCCAACACTGCCGCGATGGATTTGAACGCTGCACTTTTCAGACGGTCAAGACGGTCGAGAGCTCCCCCTGCGGTTGATTGAAATCGGGTTTCGGCCTTGTTGACGGATGCCACGTGCAGCGAGGGCTTACATGCTGGTTTCAGGGTGCATGTCGCTTTGAGAAAGCCTTGGACTGCCCTTCGAATACCCGACGCCTCTGCTTGGGCAGAGCATGCTAGTGTCGCACCCGCAATATTCTAGGGGGGCGCTATTGCGAGTTTTTTCGGCTATTCAGGATTTTGGCCCTTTGTTTTGGGGGTACACTATAATGAAAAGTTTTCGGGCCGTGACTGTTTTTTAAAGGGTTTTTGAGGTCCAAGTCATTAGTTTGAGATCTGGTTCCATGTCCTGACCCCTTCCCTGCCTGACTGTTTGGGGCTTTTGTTATTCAGGCTCCTCGACTGTTTGGGGGGGGGGGGGGGGTTTACATTATTAAAGCAGGTCCAACATTACCTTGAAATCAAAGTTGCAGATTTCTATGTCTAAACCTTGACACTTGGTGGCAGGAAGAGCCAAACTGAGCTGATGCAACAATGTGTGCTTCAGAGGTGTGCGCGGGCATGTTCAACTACATGACTCCGCTGGACAAGGCAGCTTTGAGAGTGATCCGTCCCGTATCAAAATTTGGGGTTCATGTGGTCTTAGCAATCGCAATAGTACTGGGAGAACATGTGCCTTCTCAGAAAAAACTCGCGGCGCGTGGGGTTCAGGATGCCAGACAGGTTCCAGGCACAACCCAGCAGAACACCCTTGCGAGGTTGGCCTTGTCAAGACGGTGGAGGTGGAGGCAACGGGGCACGACCTACCGGACCTGCTGTACCATCTCCTTGACGAGCTCCAAGTCTGGCAGTTGGGGGGAGGGGTCTGGCATCCTGCCCTCCGGGTTTGCTACATGGCAGGAATGCCCCCCCTAAAACGGGCCCTAAACCCGAAAAGATGGTGTGGGTGGCCCATGGTGGCCTTGACTCAATGCGGGAGCTCCCCATGCTTTTGAACCAAGGTTCCTCTATGTTTTCGCCACCGAGATGCACGTGAGCAGATGCATCGAGATCTTGTCTTTCGATGAGCCACTCGGCACTCGTGCCTGGGGTGTCGTGTGCGGGTTCTGGGGGAGGGGGCGGGGGGGCAGGGGGTTGCTGAGAGGATATTGCGGGCGTCCTGCACCTTACTGTGTACTACGTGCGGGGGATTCTGCTGCGCCTGGCACGCTGAAATAGCTAAGCTGAGGCAAAAGCTCCGCATTCGAGCTCGGGGTTATGGAGAGAAGATGGACTTGCGGATGCCCGGCTTTTGCATTTTGCTTGATTTTCATTGTCTAAACCCAACTTCTGAGCCGAAGTCCCGCGCCATCGGAGATGGTGAAAAAGCGCTTGAGCAGAACCATTCGATACCCTCAACATTCTCATGGCAGTAGGAAAACTGCCCTTGACACATCAAATGGGTGGTTCGTTCACGGGATTCACTTGTTTCGAAGAATTTATAGCTCAAGGCTCACTGCTCAACAGTCTCTTCCACAGCGGGAGAATTGAGGCCAGAGGCTCCCCGTGAACGCCTGCACCCACCGAAGGGCATCCATGTTTCCATGTCCCCCAATCCATAAGCGCACTTCCGAGGAAGCATGAGCAGGGCACCGAGATCAAGGACGCGTCCCTTTCCATCCAATTGAATCCTTTGAAGGGATGTAGGAGTCCCTGGGCCATGAGCGGAAGCTTGGAGCGAACAAAGCAGGCCATCACGATGCACATGATGAAGATCCTGACTCCCGACTTCATCTTCACAGAGGACACAGATGGAGAAGATGGCAGGAATGTGGTTCCCAGTATGATATAAAGCTCGATTCTCAGGGACTCCTCCTGGGTTGCACCCTAGGACCAGAAAACAGCAGCCTGCAAAAGACCTTAAGCTAGCCAAGTTGCCACGCCACAAACCAAGGGGGCGTGCGACCGTCGCCTGAAAGCGTGTTGAAATCTGAGCTCCAGGATGGCAAGGGGCCACGCGATGCAGAGGGCCAGATGTCGGACTTTGCATTCGAGGTTGGGTTGTTGTTTGTTGTTCAGACGTTCAGGAAGCCACACCGGATTCTTCGGACGGCAAACGCCTGCTGTACCAGCATTCGTTTTGCACGCTTTGCGTGAAATGCCAAGTGAGAAAAAAATAGAACCCCGGCCGTCTTGCCAACAGCACCATCAATATCACGAGGGCCTCCTGCCGCGTTGCTGCACATTGCCGCTGCGCGACTTCCTCGAAAAGGTTTCAAGGACATTGCAACGAATATCAAGCCTCGCTCAATCACGCAAGAACCCTGCTGAACATGTGATTTGCTATATCTGTTCCTCCTTGTGCCTCGTAACGTCGCCGCGAGATGAAACAGCCCACCTGTAGTTCGCATATGCACACGCTGCAAACCTGCTTCATGCACTCACCGCCCTGCAGGCATACGTGCTTCTGGATATTTGAGCCGGGCTGCGCAGCCTTGGACAGTGCCATCTCACTCAACTCAACTGCAGAGATGCCGAGTTTGTCAAAAGCTTGTTCCGTGCTACAGTGCTCGCTCCAATCCGTGCAGTGCCCACATTGTACCCGTCGCATTCTAAACAAGAACAATCTAGACCCCAAAGCCCGGAGCGATCTAAAGCACCAAAACCGGGGGCGCGTAGCAAAAGACCCTGGCAGGCTGGTTGTGCAATGAAGGCCCAAGCATCATTCATCTACTCCTTCGAAGTTGTGACTGCATACAACAAATCTGCTGCGCAACATGACGCTTCTGCAGTGTTGACATCTTGTTGTCAGGCAGACGGGAATGAACGTCTTCGCACCGGTTGCAGCGTTCTTGTCACGGACCCCGTGCCACCTGGCTGGCTCAAGAGCCCTCGCTTTCTTTTGAGTCATTTGGGATTTGGGTTTGGGGTTCAGGCGTGTTTGGTTTTCTCATTCTCGCTTCTCGCCTGTTCGTTTTGTGGTGAGTGGTGAGGAATGTGTGTAGACATATCTCAAACCAACTCCCTCCAAGCTTAATCCTGATCCCAGCCTCACACACCAATCACTTCCTGCCAAGCAGGCTTGTTGTCAAGACCCTCTGGTCCAAATGTCACGTCTCCTTGCTGACATCCTGAGTTTTCAGCACGCTGTGGTGCGAAAGACAACACTGGCTAGTTTTGAAGTTTGTACACGAGATTCGCCGCCCCCACTTGCAGCGCTAGTTGGATCTTCACCCAGTAAAAGCACTGGGTTCTCCGGTGTGTGGCTGCCAAGTCAGGCTTCAGGATTGAGAACCTCGGCTTTCTCTCTCATTCAGGCTTATGAGAACTTCCCCCCCCCCCCCCCCAAGACCTCCAAGTCCTGCTCGTTGCCCGAATCTGCCGCTGTGGCTCTCAGCGCTGGCCCGCCTTTGAGAGCTCAAAGCAATGCCAGCCAAAGCGCAAAAGTACGGCTTCAAGCTCAGTCAGGGATGTGCAGGGCGGCGAAAGCATGAAACAAGTCACGTCATATCCACTTGAGTAGCTGGCTGTGCGCAAGCTTCTTGTCAAAGTGGCAGATCAGAAGTGCCTCTTTGTTTACAGTGGCATGTTGGACAGCAGCGGTTATTGCTCAGCCAAAACCACTCCAGAAGCAGAAAGCCGCAACGGCACAGAAGAAAGGAGAGGCAACACAGAAGCCCCCCCCTTTTTCCAGCCTCCTCTTTTCCTCTTTCCGGCCCCTTTCCCCTTTGTCTTTGCCTCAACCCGCAGCTTGGCAGGGAAGTTGGCCCAGGGCGATGCCAAGCCCGGGCTCCGTGCGCGGAAAGCGCGACCCGACTCGGACTCCGCACCTCGGCGCCGTCCCAACATGTCCCTTTCCCCCCTCCCCCCCCCCCCTCCCCCCCCATCCCCCCCCTCCCCTGTTGTTGAGTTGGGGCTGTTGCTGCTTTGCAGTCGGCCCCTTATCAAGACTCAGAGTTGTCTTCTCTTCTCACAGGCTGACCTTTGGCCTTCAGCTGTGTGCAGACACTAGACAGCGCAAAAAAAGCGGGGTTCTTGCGTAGTCCAAGGAGACAGAGGACGAGTCCAAGCTTAGCGAGAGGGAGATTGCCAAGAAGAAGTGGGCGCCTCTCAGAAATTATTCATGCGCAAGCCTTGCCAGGCTATATACATGGTAGATTCGGGGAGAGCGCATATGTGTATGTGTGTAATGTGTGTGTGTGCGCCCTCCCAAAAGTTCAGCAAAGTGCTCCGTTTGTCCTGGCTGTCCGGGCTCTTTTGTTGTCCGCATCCTGGCTGAAATAATTTCAGGGCTGCTCAGCATTTGCCCCTCAGTCGGTGGCTTCTCCAAGCTCAGGTTCGCAGGTTGAGATGGGCGTGGCGAAAGCTGACAGCCACCGACTTAGATTGTTAGATTGAGCTACTCGTGCCCTTGTTCCATCCAGCTCTGAACCTTCTCATCTCCTGGACATGAAAAGGCAGCATTTTGGGTCTCACTGGCCTGCTTCACGATCTACTACACCAACTTCTTCCGCCCGCTGGCAGCATGTTTTCATGACAGGGAAACTCCAACACATACCCCCATGAGTGAAGATTCAAGGGCAAGGCGGCTGAAGAGTGCCTTTGGCATGGTTTCAGGAGCCACGCCACAACATGCCCATCTTGCGCAAGGCATCCCAAACTTGCAATTGACCCCTTTTGGCTACTCATACACACACCTGCGCCATGAAACCGCGGTCATCGCTCAGTGCACATTCTGATATCCCATGGCGCCTCAGTCTAGGCATGTCTTTGGGATAAAACGATGGAAACTGCTCGGCCAAGGCGTGATGTGGGAGTCCCCCTTGGTGAATCGCACCTACTTCTACCTAGCTTTCGCCTGCTTGGCCTTCAACATGATGCTTGGGCTTATGTCAGCATCGAAATTGCATTGCGCCACCTGCCCACACGACTTTGGACTGGGGTTCCTGGGGTTTGTGTCAAGGTCCATGCTGGCGTACCTCGCGCTTTGGTGTACAGTCGTGCTGAAGATCGAAGAGCCTTGGGAAACAAAGCATCCAAAAGCCATTCCTGTGATGGCCATCGTTGGCTTTTCCACAGCAACCTGACAGATGACAGGGGATCTCTCTTTTGAGAACCCTTCTTTTGTTTTGTTGTCCGCACGTTGCCATGAAAAGTGTGAAGATGAAGGCTGGGGGGGGGGGGGGGGGGGGCACTTCGAAGTCCGGCAAGCCTCCCGGTTGCTCCAAGGTCTGGCTCTTCTTCTTTGCGTTTTGGCCTGTTTGGGGCCTCCTCACGCTCGTCATCCAGCTCATCTTCTTCTTGGGCTTCGTGAGCGCAGGTGCCATGAGCAAAGAACACCAACTGAGAGAAGAGAGAAATCCATATAGAGCAGCAAGAAGCTCGAGCCCAAAGCCGATCTCCATGCCAGGCCAGTTCCTTCCAAGCGGCACGTGCCTTGGCCTATCATCGGCCCAGTGAGAAGTCTTAGTGTTCGCAGTTCTGAGGGCAAGGCAGAAAAGGAGAACTCTCGAAGAGTCTGAAAAGTGGCGAGGCTTGGAGCTGTCCTCATGTTCGTGATCTTCATCGGCGCCTTCTTCACGTCGGAGCTCATCCCCCACGACACTTTGGGGATGTGGAGAGGTCTAGATTGAGGTTTAGATGTTTGCCGGCAGCCTCCAAAGTCCGTTGCGCAAAAGGGGCGGCTCAGGTAGGTTTGGAGGTTTCGGCCAAGTCTTGGCCTGCTGGCCACAGTATACTCCCGACTCGGAGAAGCGAAGCACCGGCAGATTCTTCATCATGGGGTACGGGGATAGATCTCTGGTCTGTTGCCAGCCTCCTGCAGAGGAATTTGAGACGTGCACATGTTGAGCACTGCGCCTGGCCAAGGAAGGACTTGCGCACTACACACCTGGCCCAAGCTCCGCATATTGAAGATGAATGAAGTGAGAGAGGCGTCACATGGGCTAATGCTTCAGGTATCTCAACTGAAGCATCTCGCAAGAAGCCAGGCCTTTGTTCACGGGGGGTGTCACACCGAGCTTTCGCGAAGCTTGTGGTTCCAAGCGTGCCCCATGATTGGCCCATGAATACGGAAGCAGAAATCATGGGACTCACAGAATCTACAGGCTAGCTCGCCCAAAACTATCGACAGGGGTAGTCTGCCGGTCATCGTGTCCCGCTTGCAAAAACAATGGAGGAAAGGGTTGCTTGCTGTCGACCCTGGTTGCAAACAAGCGTGGCAGGGCCTGGTGTGATGTCGGTGCTACGAGATTCTCAGGACGCTAATGTGAAAAACTCTCAGTACACATCCTAAGTCCTAATGAAGTCTACAGCTTTCGGATCCGGCCCATGCTACCACTGCATGACCCGACAGGGCAGGAGAAGGCTCTGCCCGGGCGTAGACGCCGTAAAGACGTGCGCTGCCAGGAAAAGGGACCTTTGCAGTGTTTGGGGTTCATCTCGCATTTGACACACTCCGAGATGTGCTTCTCGCTCGAGCAAAGCAAACCCTTAAAGCCTTTAAAGCCCAAACACCTCTCACAGCATGCTTCTGTGGGCTCCCGCTTCGCTGTCAAAGCCAATCGTCCCATTTCAACCATCCCAGCACCTGAGCCTCAAGGCCTTCGGGGTTCTTGGAATCTAAGCGACTCAGCACGATCCAGGGCATGTAAGCTTCAATCCAAGGCGCGAGCGCATTCCCGGGGCTCGCGACGCCTTTGTTGGCGCTCTGCGCGAGGCGGGCGCGGTGGTGCTGGAACTGGGGTCTGGTCGGCAGCCCCACAAAGCTGGCTTTCAAAACTCCCAAGCCAAAGATCTTACCTGTCCGTAAACTTAGCGCACTCAAGCTCCACCAGCGAGCTTTCGCACTCGGAGGCTGGGGCGACCGTTGAGATTGGCAAGGCCCGTGACGAAAAATTTGCCAGCTCGAGCGGCGTTGTTTCAGACCGCCGCACCGCCCGTAGGTGGGGCACAGTGCCGCCATTGGCCACAGCACATGAGTTGGTGCACACAGGAAGAGCTGCGAAAGTGAAGGAATTCATTGTTGGGGCGCAGCTTTATGCGACTTTCGAAGCAAGTGCCGAAGGAACAAAGAAGGCCTCACCTTCTGGAGAGAGGAAGGGGAAAGAGAGAGCCAGAGAGAGAGAGAAGTAGAGGTATGTGTCACGAACCTCATGTATCACACACCAGCCCCTTCAGGGGACAAGGCTGGGATGAGGAATGCTGTCCAGGGGTCGAAAGTGGGTGGGAAAGAACAGAGCGGCAGTTCCTAATTGTTGCTAGGTTCGGGTTGGTGTGCTCCCGCCGCGTATCCTCCAGACCACAGGCCTCACCTTTCAACCGGGAGCTCTTCCCAGCTGAGGGCTGTTCGCCCTGTCTTCGCACAGGTCAAGCCTCCGAACCTTGGCGAGGGCTTGGAAGATCAAGATCCAGTGGCAGCTCGGCAGTAAGCATCTTAAGCATCTGTTGATACCAGTTGGCCCAATCTTTGTGGCATGTTGTCGATTCCAGCGCCTCACAGCACCCTCGATGAGAGCTGTCAGCAGAAGTTCGGGAAAAAAGTTGTCGACGGAGGTGCTCGTGGAGGCGCACTGGCGCTAGCAGCCGCTGGCACGCCTGGGCCGGCTCAAAAGAGTAAAAGGTTTCTGCACGGCGTCAGAGACATTGAGAACATGGGGGGGGTTTACGATATGAGGGGACCTTCTTTGGGTCCTTATTCTAAGCGGATCCTACTTTTTTGGATGGTTTTATTATAGTCCCTTATTTTCGTAAACTCCCACATTGTTCAGATCAGAAATGCTGACCTTTGCCATGAAGCAGTTCCAAAGGGTTGAGAGTTGGCATCGAGTTGTCGAAGGATGGGCATTCTTGTACACCGACAGCAGATTTAAGGGGTCTTCCTTGGAGAGTACTGGCAGAGCTCAAGCTTAAGCAAGAGACTTTCTGGCTCGAATGTCCAATCGACCAGCAAAGCAGCTCAACGAACCATGCTGCTGACCTTGCTAGCCGCAAGCCCTTCCAAGGTTTTAGGGCATAGCCGCTGCACCCACATACAGAAGCATACGGTGTTGCTCAGCGCTGAGGCGTGGGCCGTAGCAACCACCTCAACTCCCACCCCCACCCGACATGCTCAAAGAGAGACGGTGCTGCTAAAACGTTTGCATTTGTAACGGCTGTAGGTTTAGTGCATCCACCCAGCCATGCGCTAGCCTTGGGCCCACCTTGGGGCAGAGCGTCCAGATGGAGGCCGACCTGACAGAAAGTGCTCTGCACTCTCAGTACTGGGAGTCCCGAAAGCAACGGTTCGGACCTAGCAGCCAAGGAGTTCGCATCGAAGCTGCAGAACCGCATCGCCCGCTCAGAGGACCTGACCTATGTCCCTGGCCACAGAAACATGTACCTAACCACACATCGATCCAGTATAAGCTTAGCTTGCCAAGCTCATGTGGGAAGCTTTTGATTCCTTCGGTAGAGGAGCGCTGCTGCCTTGAAGGCAGCAAGAGCACGCTGTTCACAAACTGCCTTGCACTGTCGCTAAGCTAGGCACCAAAATCAAGGCTGAAATTGCGGTTCCCGTTGCCTTCTTCCAATTCCATCGAATGTCTCTCCACTCGCAGAATTTTGTTAGCCCGGTGCCATCGACTGCCTCCACCCAACCTGTAGGGACCCTTGGCTCCTCCCATGAGTTGTGAGGGTCCTTAGTAGGCTTGTAGCTGCTCATACCTCGACATACTCAACTTGTAAAATCGCGACTCAAAACATGGGGGGAGGAGCCAGGGGTCTAACGCCCGGAAATCTCATTGCAACCACTTGCACTTGAACGGAACCTCCTAGCCGTTACGACGCCATGTACTTTGGTTCAGTTGATTCGTTGTTGAACGAAACCTGCGTCTATAGCATGCAAAAAATTGGTTCCTGTAGCATGACGATTCTCGCACTCCGCTTAGGTACGGCGCCTTGCTTTGCAATTGTGGACCTCGAGCCTGAGTTTGTTCAAAGCGAGAGGCAGTTGAGGATGTAAAGGTGTTGGAAATGGATCAAAGGTTCAGGGATTGCGAATGGGCATTGTGCAAGAGATCAGGCAGAAGGCGTGCATGGAAAGGGGAAGCCTGAACCCCGAATTCAGCCATGCTCAAGCCAAGCTCTCCTGTTCTGAGGAGTGACAAGTACACCTTGTTGGGTGAGCTGCTGTCGACGCCGGAGACGGGCTTTTTCACAGACAAGCTTGAGTTGTTCTAACGTGATCTCTCTCCTTTTCTTGCCCGGCTTGGCTGCTACTGCCGGTGCACCGCAAGCTTTTTCGCCCAGTACTGCTGCCATGGCTCCTCCTCCCATCTTGCCTTTGTTAGCCCTCTCCGGGTGCTTGTGTGCCATGGTGGGCTTGCCATGCACTTGTCGAGCTAATTACTGAAGCGTTTGTGTCACTGCATCCAATTTACTTGCACATCATCTAGGTTGCATCTAGTGCATGCAACGAAACATGCAGCCTAGCCAGACATGCTCATCATCATTGCCTTAGTTCTGGTTCGGGTTGTTCCCGAGTGGGACGGAAGCAATCGTTTGACAGGCCAACAACTAATCGAGCTACCTCCACAAACAATACAGCAAATGAAGTCCAGAATGCATGGAAGCCCCTAACAGGCGAATCACATCGCAAATCCTTGCGACATCCACTTAAGTTCGATGTGCTCGAAAACCGCAGGAACTGGAGGAGTGTCTGCGGCTTGTGGGCCTTGACGGCAGCGGTGTTCGCTTCGACAAAGCGACGGGCAAGGCTGGGAATGGTGGAGTTGTGGAGTCGCCTGGACAATTGTTGGCGGGGAATTCAAGGGCTTTAAGGGAGTTGGAGAAGTGTCGGATTTGTCTTTGGGCCACTGGTTCCAAAACCTTGGAGGTTGAAGCTTTCGATCAGGTTCGGGAAACAGAGCTAGGGGGCAGAGCTAAGTCCAGCAGATGGCACGGACCGGCTTCGCAGGGCTTCCAGTGCCGACACAACAGCGACATTTCAGGACTTGACGAGTCTTTCGTGTGAGCTCTGCAAAAGGCCAAGCTGAGCCCTGACATCAACAACTTCATCGAGCAGATGGCGCCTCGACCCTACTTAGCTCGCAGCTTGGTCAAGAGCCGCCCTTCCAACCGCATGTGCTTGCTTCGTCTTGCAGCGCACCCTGAAATTCCGCGTGTGTTGTGCAAGCGGGTCGTCAGCTGCGTTTTGCGCAGGCGCGTGTTTCAAACAGCTAGTCCCGCGGACACTACAAAATGCCAAGGGACACAGTAAGGCAGCTTGAAAGGACAGCTGTGAAAAAACAAAGCCGAAGCTCGGTTTTCGATGGTCCATGAACAACTCTTCGACCATGGCTCGACCACGAGAAAACCCCTCGTGGTCGCTTGCGCTGCTTCTTGGTGAAGCATACAAAGCTGCACCAACGCCAACTTACCTCCACACAGAAATCCCTCAAGACACAGCTGTTTCAGATGGAGCTTCACAGGCCTGCTCCATCACCCTGCTTACACGAAAGCTCCAAGCAAAAATGCTCTGCCATCAGGGTTCTAAGCTGCCAAGCCAACCCGCAGATACGGGAAGCAACATTCGGCCCTGTCTCTGTTTCTGTCGCTGTGAGTACCTGGAAGAATTTTACATGTATCACTCGTTGAATGTCTAACTTCAGATTGGGCTCCTTCCCCCCGCACAAACGCTCTCAGGTGGAAACCTCCACACTGCCCGATGGCCAGAAGCTCTTCGACTATTGGGCCGATACTGGTGTGGGCAGCCGCGGGCTCAGCAAAACACGAATGGTCCCGCTTGGGCAAAACTTCGCCGGGGCCTCCGGGCGCAAACCCGCAAAGCCAAGCAGCATCACTCGACCCGTGACCCTTATAGACCGCTCGAACCCCCTGAGCCTTACCACGCCAAGCCCTGAAAACCCAAGCTAACCTGCAAAA